GGGAGAAACAATTATTTGCCAACTTTATTCAAGACTTAAGTAAAGTACAACACATATATATGGTGAATTATAAGCAAATCATCTCTTTTCTTCTTTACTATCGGCTATTGTTCAAACTTGACCCCTTCTCGCCCTTAAGACTGAAAATGTTTTAGTTTTTAAGTACCCTCAATCACTAATTCTCACAACTGAGTCTCTGTCTCTGGCTTCTCCTGTTCTAATCAGTTATCTTTAAAGGCATCAATTATTTTTATATTTAAAAAAGACTTTTCATAGAAATATTAAATAGCTCCTTATCACCCACAGGATAAACATTAACTCCATAAAATAACAAGGATATAACACAAACTACCCACCCCTATGTGAGCTCTTTCTGATTCTAATTATCATTACTTCATCTACTCTATAAATTTGACTTTCTTCTTATAACAAAGCTCAAATGCTGTCCATCCGAGTATCCTTCCCTTTATCCATGCGTTACCCAAACTTCTTGAGTGCTTCCACACTGACACTGTTAGGTGCTGGGGTACACTGCCGACTATGACAGGCAAACTCACTGCCCTCAAGGAACTTACATTCTAACGACAGAGACAAAGTAATCAAGTGCAAAAATAAATAAAGAATACAGTAGGTGGCAGTGTTATGCAGTACAAATAAAAATAAAGCAGATTAAGGAATAAAAGGTAGAAGGGGAGAAAGTTATTTCAGGAAGGGTGTCTCTGAGAAACTAACCTTTTAAAGCATATATTAAATGATGTGAGGATGGGGCTTTGTGGATACCTGAAGAGAAGAGTTCTTCAGGTACAGAGGATACAAATGCAAACATAGCTGAGGCAGGAACCAGCCTGGTGCTTCTGATAAAGAGAAAGCCAGTGAGTGAGCCATGTAACAGAGGTGTGAGAGGGCATGTATTAGGAATCAGATCTAGGCATCTTGTAGGCTGTGGAGCTTCTGCTAACTGTTCTTAGAAGCTAGTGGAAGATTTTGAGTAAGGGAATAATATAATCTGACTGAAGTTTTTAGAAAGGTTACTCTGGCTACTGAGTGGGATGTAGACTGAAGGGAGGCAAACATGGAAGCAGGGAGACTGGCTGAGCAGATGCTGGGGAAGGATGGTAGATTCTGTTGCGCTGGCATCTCCGGAGGTGATAAGAACTAGCTGAGATGCTGGTGATAGGATGTAAAAGAAAGAGAAAAATAAAGATAGGACTCCTAGCTGCTTTTTGACCTAAGCAGTTGGGTGAAGAGTTGTGCTATTTATTAATATGAGAAATTCTGCAGAACAGATAAGCTTTGGAGAAGCTAACAAGAATTCTTTTGCAAATATAATTTCAGATGATTTTTAGGCATCTACCAGGGGTTTTTGAGTAGGCATATGAGCATACAAGTCTTGCACACAGAGAAAGTTCAGTACTAGCTTATGAATTTCGGAGTCTGATAGTATTGACACCGATGGTACTAGGGAGTGAATAGGGGGAGATTGGGTATTCAGATGGTGGGATGAAAAAGAAAGTTAGGAACAAAAAGAAACCTGTAAGATAAGAGGAAAACCAGACAGATGTGTGCCGTGAAGCATAGGTGTGCTGGGACACCAGCTCTGAAAATATAAAGCCCTGATTTGCAGTGTTTGCTGATTTTCCTGGTGTAAAATGCTCACTATGGTTGATTTAAATGACTAGTGGTTTAAAACCAGCTCACAAATTTCCTAAATAATCAACAACCAGTTCTCATGGGGCCATAAGAACTGGCTTCAGAACATTACTGCATGGAAGTCAAGTAATGAAAGTGTTTCAAGAAAGAAGGAGTTAGAGATTAAAAATGGAAACTGAAAACTGGCCACTGGCTTTGACAAGTAGGAAACTGCTGGTGACCTTGATTGGAAATGGATTGGGTACAGTGATGATGATAATTAGAAAAGCCTGTGTGCAATGGGTTATAGCAAGAATGGGATATGGTGAAGTGGAGACAATAATTGTAAGTGCCTTAGGCAGCAATTGTGTTTTATATCTCTTCATAACATTTATCACTATCTGACATAACATACATTTTACTTGTTTTTATGTTTATTGCATGTTCCCTCTCCTAATACACACTTGAATATAAGTTCCATGAACGCACAGATTTTCTTCTTTTTTTTTAATTGAATTTATTGGGGTGACATTGGTTAATAAAATTATATAGGTTTCAAGTGTACAATTCTATGATACATCATCTGTATGTTGCATTGTGTGCAGATTGTTTTCTTTTTGTTCACTGATATCTTCTCCAGTGCCTATAATGTTTCCTGATAAATCTCATATGCACATGTGGAAAACTGTACACTTGGCACACAGTGATGATTTTCAAATAAAACACTGGACATGACAGTGAGTCACGTACATATCAGAATGAGAAGTCAAAATATAATTCTAGGCCAGAGTTTATTTTTTAGAAGAGTGAAGTTCTGCCTGGCAGGGCGTGGCTCAGTGGTTGAATGTCAACCTAGGATCCAGGAGATCAGGGTTTGGTTCCCAGTCAGGGCACATGCCCGGGTTGCGGGCCCGATCCCCAATGACTCTCTCATCATTGCTGTTTCTATCTCTCTCTCTCCCTCTCCCTTCCTCTCTCTGATATCAATAAAGATATATTTTTTTAAAAAAAGTGAAGATATGAATTATAAATAATTGTGGGGAGAGATTAACTAAAGAACTTATACACATGTATGCATAACATGTGTACAGACAATTATGAGGTGAAGGTCTGGTAATGGGAAGGGAACCAGCTGAAGGAGTCATTGGGGGGAGGGGGGGCAAAAAGGGACATCAGTAATACTTTCAACCATAAATTGTTTTGAAAAGAAAGAAAAATAAGAAAAAATGAAACAGTCAATGCTTATATAGTTCTGACCATGTGCCTGCAACTCTTTTATATGCTTAACAAATAATAATTAATTAAATCCTTAAAACAATTATAGCAGGGATAATTATTAGCCTTAGTTTGAATTTGAGGGAACTAAGGATCTGTGGCCAAGAAATTTGCCAAAGTTCACACAGTTGGTGGCTATATCACTTGCTTAACTGGAGAAAGAATAATAAAACAGAAAGCTGGTTTTTACCCGGGGTGTAGAGAATAACCACGCTCTCTCACATGTGACTAGCTATTAGCATTTTAAAACGCACTTCTATATCCAATATTATTTGTTACACCCAACATCCATGTGAAGTGAGCAATACAGGGATTATCATCTTTCATTTGTGGTTGAGATAGCTAAAGCATGATTCTCTTTGACCAAAATTGTGTGAAGTACCTTTGAGGACACCTAACTGCTATTGCTTCTGTCTTAGGCAGAGTAGAAGGGGAAAATGACCCAGTATGAATAAATGTCTTGGTGCACTAAGGTTTAGAGAAGGGGAAACATTATTCAGATAATAGTTCTTGGAATATGGANAATTAAAAAAATAAATTATAAAACACTGCTGGATCCTAAGTTATGGGCTATAAAATTTGGGTAGTTTATTCAATTACAGGGTGGTTACTAACAATGTGATGAAGGGTGGGCAGTTCTTTTCTTCCTCCAGCTGTGTGTGTGTGTGAGTGTGTATATGTGCACATGTGCGCTTATATTTTCTATCTAATGGCAGAGCTTGGCAATATAAAGTAACTAAAGCTCTAGAATATATAATTTTGTAGATTTTTCCCTGTTTGCACACTTATTCCACAAATTTATTTTAGTCTCCACTCTGCACTTATCATATTCAGATGCTCAAATTTCTATGAAATTTCCTCTGAACTGTACAGCCTCTGGTGATCTCTCTTTTTGCTAAACTCCTGTATCACTAATTGTGCCTTATGACTTCTCCCCAAAGAATTGTAAGCTCTCTAAGGAGTTTCTTTGTCTCAAGGTATAGCTGAGACAATTATATGCACATGGAAGTCACTAATAAACATTTACTGACTGAATGAAGACCTGAATTAATAAGTGAATAGAAATAATGCATGAGCTACCTAAATCTTCTTTCTAGAAAGTGCCTAGCCTACACTGCCTTTCTGGCAGGGTCTCTGAGTTTTCTCTAAATGTCCATATGTTTTGGACTATATCCTGCTTTATCTTTAATAGCAGTTTTCAAACTTTACAAGGATAGATAAGGCACTAAAAAAGAAAAAAAATGTATAGAAATTTTAAAGGACATATGGAACAACGATATAACAAAGGATTATTCACTTAGGCACATGGACAGGGTGTTGATTTATAAAATCTCCTGTTGCTTTTCCAGAATATAAGCATTACACAAAACAAGATCTTCCTATATAATAGATCTTCCTATGTAATGGAAAAGACACACAAAGACTAGGCTTAAAGTTTTAAATGAGAGAAAAGGATATTGAACCTATACTTACTGTCTTCTATGTCCCAGCACTGGGTGATTGGGTCGCCATACTTGACATCTTGGCGTCTAGCTCGTCTAAGAAAAAGGGATTAAACTGTTTAGAACTTCATGCACATTAAATGAAACACAGATAATTTACAGCTAACTCTAATAACAGTGGCAGATGCAGAACTACGCTTATCTTACTACCCAACTTAAATGCAGGTCAATATTCCAATCACTCTAACATTAAATCAAATATTAGTAGTAGCAGAGTCCTAATGGGGTGAATCCTATTTGGGCAATAAGATGATCTGAATTTTATTTTACTACCACAGTGTACTTTTTCTCTGATTTTGGAAAACAAAATAGGTTGACAACTATCATGCAGGTTTTATATACATAAAATGGGAGTAACCATCCCTACCCTCTTTTTTAAGTCAGTCATAGAGTAAGTAATAAGATGTAAAAAAAACTTAGTGAGTAGGAAAGCACACACAAATACAAAACACCTGATCATGTGAAGATTCAGTCTTACATAGATTTGATTAAGCAACAAGTTAAATACTGTCACCTGAAATAGAAGCACAAGTTTGCTATGGTGTGAATAGCCAGATGTTTGTATCTGCTGACACGTACTTCACAGTTTTCTGATAGTAGTGATGATGATAATAAAAAAAAAATAATGGTTTCATGCATTATTGTCACACATTTTCCTTAAGAGAAAATAGTAACTACTGTATAAAAAAAGAAAAAAATTGCTACATCTAAGTTAATCAAGTATTACATCATTCCAATCTATCTTCATTTGCTTTGGCAACTTTATATCGTCACTTCATAATCATAGTAAACCTTCTGCAATCTCTAGAGTGTTCCTAAAGAGCAATGTTGACCAGACGACAACTCTGTGCAAGAATCATCTACCGTACACGGTTTTCAGCTCCTGTGGACCCTACGCTGGTAGGGGAAACATCACAGTGGCATGTCTGCCAGGTCACCCAGAGTCTTGGGAAGTACGTGAAGAAAAACTTACGATGGTATAAGGTACATAGATCAAGAATGTTTTTAAATCTTGACTTCTTAAGAAACAGGGTCAATTCATCAAACTGAAGGTTCATTACCAACTAATGAGCATTCTTGTTTTGTAATTTGAAGAAGAGCAGTCCCCAAGTACTCACTGTGATGAGAACATTCTTGAACAAAATCTCTGGAGCAAAATGTAGATGACTTTTTACTTTCAACTTTTAATAATCTCCACTCACACTTAATTCAGAGATTTCAAGAATTATAAAATGCCTCCTAATTTTAAGCAGTATCTGCTATTGTACTATACTTTTAATCTGTGATCCCTGAAATTTGCAATTTGACAAATTAGTAAATTTATTTATTTTTTTTAAAGTGCATAAGTAGTAGTGGAACTAACATGCTCGCCTGTTAATCTTATTTTGTTAATAAAGACCTAAAGATTTGAAAAATACTATATATAATTTGCTGTTTTTCCTAGAGGAAAACATACTTTGACAATATTTTAGGAAAATAGTGTTACAACTACATTCCACATTTACAAAATAATTATATCATAATATATTTAGCCAGCATCAGTCATAGTGATGGGCAGTCAGGTTCTTAATAATAAGATGTTGAAATAAGTATCTTTGAACATATATATAACTTTGTCGTACTTTTGCCAGTATGTGTAGCATAAATCCCTAGCTGGGAATTATTTATTCAAAATAGTATTGTTTTTAAGGCACATAAAGCCATGATCTACAAACAGCAGGGCACATTTTGATGTTTAAGTATATATGAGTGACAGAAATTGGCCAAGTTGAGTTATTACTATAAAAGTAAAATTGTACTGAGCTGCTGGATGTGTTATGACTGTATGTAACCCACACTTTTACAAACACATACATCTACACATGATATGCAAAACAGTAGAAATATGAAGGAAAAGAGGAAGGAATGTAGAAAGAGTAAAGTAATAAAGAAAAACAAACTTTTAATGGTGTTTAACATCAATGAGGAAAAAGAATATAAACAATTTATCAGAATTTTTAAAAGTTCCACATTTCAGAACTTCAGAACATTCTTTTTATTCTTCAAAGTTTGGTGTTATGCAAAACTGTAAGAATGTTTTATTTTTAATATTCCTACTGTAGACCATGTTTTCTCTATAATAATGTTTTGTCTTTGATTTAAACTATAAGACAAAGTACTCATGTGAAATATTCATTGTATAGAAAGGAAAGCATCCTATTAACTCCACGTGCCTCTTACCTTTTTGAAGTGGGTGTGTATCGAGAGCATGCAGCTCCATCCCAGGCGCAGTAGGGGTCTCTGGCAAGACAACAGTCCGCACAAGCTTTCCCGTAAGTGTCACATCTGTGCAATGAGAGCTGAGCCAATCCATCTCGGGAACCAATGTACAATTGTTGCTGCAAAGCAGGCAAAACAAATGAATTAGCAGCATCTTTCAAACTAGTCTTAAGAACTTCCCTTTCTTGAATACCACATCACAGATCTAAATCTGCCTCCTCGGGTGTCTCCATAATAAACACTTGTACAGTCACATAACAGGGAGTAAGATAAGTCAATCACTCCTACCTCTGGCAGGATGGTGGCTTGAAGACCTTGATGCTGAAATGGACAGCATTCTCTAGGGCTAGACTAACCTTGGCAGTAATTTAAGAAGGTTAAAAACCAGCTGCTAGACAGGAATTAAGATGTCAAATTCCTTCTCAGTAGATGAAAATATTCTTTGGTAGAGTATATCAAGCACACATGCTATAGGCCATGCTGATGGTCCTCACCTGACATCATTTCTTGCATAAGAGATGACTGAAAAGAGATTTAGAAAACTTTCCTGAGGTTTTAACTAACCATTTCATTTGCGAATGAAGTGCATACAGATTGCTGAAGGCAAATGGGTTATTAGTGGGAGGAAAAGTATTTGGTATCACTGTGAAGAAAGTATTGAGGGGACTTGAGGGATACCATATTGTACATAAAGGCTATAGGATGCCGAAAAACCCAGCAAATAAAATTACATTTTGAGAATAATGCACTGTGCATTATGAAAATAATGCACTGCTCTTTATGTGTATTCATTTGAATGTATGTGGTAGTGGTGAGAGAGTGGGCGAAAAGGGGTGGTACAAACGAATAAGCCATAGTCTGTGCCTCCAAGGACTCATGGTCAACTCTAGAGGACCACGTGAACCTTTATATGGAGAAAAAAAAAATCTGAGAAAACAGATATTGGCACAAATAATATATATGTACTCAACCTACAGAAATCTGTCCTATACCTCCACCACCCATTAAACTGTCAGTTGAGACTTCCTGGTGGCTAAATGCAATGTGCATTTTTTAGTATTTGTTTTACTTCAATTCTCTATAGTGTTTGACACTAAGGACTTGAAACCCTCTTTACTTTCTGTTTCTTCCTCTTTATTCCTGCCTGACTTCTGTTTCCTTTGATAATTCTTTTCTTTGCATTAAATGTTGGATCTCTCTCTTTCCTATTCTCACTTATTTACCCTTTTTATTGTGCAAAGAGGTAGAGGTATCTTGAAGATAAAAATGTGGACGCACTGATTCCCCTAAATCTACTCCTGTGACCCCACTTTGGCAAGAGGCACCACCCCAGTCACCCAAGACACAAGTCTGGGAGTTGTCTTTGAATCTCCTCTCTCTCTCCTTCAGTCTGTCACCTTATCTTTGCCACTCTCTCCAAGAGAACTCTCTAATCTATTCCTCCCCTCCCTCCCCCTGCCACTGCCTTGGCTTCAGTTCTTATCATTTCTTTCCTGGATTACTTCTAAGTGTCCTAATATTTCCGCTGGCTTCAGCCTTGTTTTCCAACAACTCCCACCTCTGACCCAAAGCTCAATCAACCCACCTTTGGCACTGCCCCACCACACAGATCTTTCTTTTTAGACTGATCTTTCTAAAAGGAAAATCTTATCGCCACACCCTCCTGCTTAAAGATTTCACTGTCCTTAGATAAAACTGGTAAACTTTTTAGGACACACAAAGATGTACTTAATCTTGCTCTGTCTTATTTCCCCAGACTCATTTCTGGTCCCTTGTCCCAGGAGCACAGGTATGTCCTTTGCTCTAAATGTACAGAAACTTAAGAGAATAACCTGTGGTCTCTCCCTCTTCACAGCTTTTCAAAGCTTCTCCTCTTCCCCACCCCATCTCCCTTTATATTGATCTGGTTGACTGCAACACCCTCGATGGCTCAGGTTATATATCTCTGTTGTCAGCTGTCTTCCCCGGCCGCCTGGCTTCTTTTTAGACCAGTTCCCCTCCTGTCTCCCTAGTACATGCTTCCAATGTTCTCCACACTATCAGCAGCTCCTTTGTCTCCCAGCTCCACCATGAGTTTCTAGAGACTAAGGGCTGTGCCATCCATGCATTTCTTTACCCTCCAAGGACAGCAGAAGTCCTTCAAGAACTAAACATTGAGTGAATGAAAAAATTAATGGAAAATACTGAAGAAGCAACTTAGTTAGATCTTTTCCCTAGTAATCCCTGTACCATACCAGGCATAGTAGTCTAAGACAATTTTAGCAAAACTTGAATGTTGAACATATTATCACATGATTTTCTTAAACTTTAAGGGTACATGTGGAAATGGGAATGCAAGTCTTAATCTCTTGAATCAATTGGGACTTGGGGTATCATATCCCAGAACTGTGAAATCATATTAAGTATTAGTTATTATTATTAGCTACTGTTTACTTCACACTTGGTGTACCAGCTGTCAGTCTAAAATTTTGCATTCAGCATCCTATTTATTAGAAGAAGTGGATATTATTTTTCTAACTTTGCTGTTGAGAAAATTGATTCTAAGAGTCAGATGTTAAATGACATATTGGAGGTAAAATGTTGGGCTATTTGCTACCACAGTTCATAGTCTAATTGCTAGACTCCCTGATTAAAAGCCATTTTTAATGATTAGGGCTGGTATTCTACATGAATTACTTTACAGCCTGAACAGAAAGACATCCTCATGAGACTAGAAAAGTGAATTTAATTTTCAAGAGCAAAAGGAAGAGGAGAATATATTATTCAATTAGTGAAATTTGGTTTCATTTCTCTTAAGGCAAGGCTGAAATGGTAACCTTTAGTTATAAAGTAAACACATACTCTAAAGCTTTTTCTATTACTTATAATGTAACTTCCAATTCCAATGGATTTTCCCTAAAAAATGAACTTTGATTCAATTGCCCTGTTGCTCTGTGGTTAATTTTTACACAAAAATTAGACAATACCTGCTTCAAAGACAACTCCATGTTCAAGATGATTGATGAGTGCTGAAAAAAGAAGTTAACGTTAATAATCATTAACAGTCTTTTATAGTAGACAGTATGTTGTTTTATTTTGTACCAAAGATCAATGAAATAAACTTCAAGGCTCCATTATATAGGGGAGGAAATGATCTTAATGTTTGCTATTTCCTCCCAATGGGTAGTGATTCTACCTTAACAGAAATGATCAAAACAGTTATTTTAAAGTATCTGATTAAAGAAAAATCACCTAACTGTATGAGAAACACTACATTGAGAAGCGTTCCCAGTTACCCACAAGGTTTCTCCTTAGTCTGCTTATCTTAACTGCTTCCATATAATTCAAACTAGTGTTGACAAGGACATCTCCATAATTATTTATTACCTTTCTCTGCTCTTACTTAGATCAGTAGTTGAAACACTTGTTCAAGTAGCAGAGTTCTGAAGAGTTATAGTGCTCCTTGTGGATGACCACATTCTTTATGGAACACTGCAAGATGCTGATGCACATGATTTCTTGGTATAAACTAGGGCCAGCTTTATTTGTAGAAAAGGTGGCTCTATGCATGCAATATAAAATCAGAAAACTTGAACACAAAAGTTACCAAACTAAAAAGGATGGAATGTTTAAAAAGTTTTCATCTATCTATCATCTAACATCCACCTATCTATCTAATCATCTATCTATCATCTATCTATTATCTATCTATCTATCATCTATCTATCTATCTATCTATCTATCTATCTATCTATCTATCTATCTATCTATCATCTATCTATCTATC